TTGCCATCAGTGCTGGGCTGAGATGGTATCTCATTGTTGTTTTGATTTGCATCTCTCTGATGGCCAATGATCGTTAAGCATCCCTTCATGTATTTGCTGTCCATCTGAATATCCTCCTTGATGGAGTGTCTATTCATGTCTTCTGCCCATTTTTCAATTGGATTGTTAATCCCTTTGCTGTTAAGGAGTTGGAGTTTTCTATATCTCTTAGAGCTAAGTCCCTTGCCAGATATGTAATTATCAACAAGTATGAATTTGTTGCCGTCATCTTGTTACCTGCTTTTTTGTGGTGTTGGTATCTTTGTTCCATATAATTTTCTGTCCTGAGCTCGTTTTGTTTATGAATTGTGTTATCACTTCCTTTGTTGCTACTGTTTTAGTATTTGTGAAGTATTTGTGCTGGTGCTCTTTTTGATTTTGATGTGAAGGTTTATTATTTTTGAGGTTACCCTATGATTTATAGTTTTCTTCCCAAGTTTAGAACAGTCTGTTCTATCTTGTAGTTGTCTTGACTTTCGTACCATTTAGAAGTTTTTTAACTACACAAAATTTTTTCCCCCTTTTGGTTTGTAGTTGTCCTCATCTGTCAATTGACAAATTGGTTCCCTGTTTACTCTGGTTCCCTGCTTACAATCCTGTAGGATTATTTTTGGGTAGTTCTATAACTGGGTTGGTTTCTAGTTTGCGTCATCATGTGTTAATGATCAGTTGTTGTTTGCTGTTGTTGGTTCTGTCCCAAAGAACTCCCTTTAGCATCTCTGGTAAGGTTTGTCTGGTTTTAACAAATTCTGTTAATTTCTGCTTATCTGGAAATGTTCTAATTTCACCATATTCGAAGGACAATTTTCCTGGTATATAATTCTTGGTTGGAAATTTTTCTCTTTCAGGGTTTTTTATATACCATCCCAATGTCTTCTTACCTGCATGGTTTCTGTGAGAAATCCAACCTTAGTCTTACTGGTTACCCCTTGTAGGTAACTTTTCATTTTTCCCTTGCTACTGTCAGGGTTCTTTCTTTGTCTTTGGTTTTGGTGAGTCTGATGATGATATGTCTGGGTTATTTCCTTTTGGGGTCTACCCTGTTTGGGGTCCTGCTGACAGTTTTTTATCATGAATTTCTCTGGCTCTCCAGATGATCTTTCTCCTTTAATTTCTTAACATAATAATGGAATTTAATTTGTTGTCGGGGACTCTTGATTTGACTTCGGTTCACAATGACCCCACATGTCAGAGCAGAGAGCACTATCATGACGATGGGGGCAGTGGGGCAACGTTTCAGTCTGCTGCACAGGGGCTCACGAGTCAGAGCTGACCCAACAGTACCTGACGACAAGTCAAAACGCTAGTGAACCGACAGGGAACACATCACCGGGTCTTTCTCCTACAGAGCCTCTGAGTGGGTTCCAACCACCGACCTGCAGGTTAGCAGCTAGGCGTTTTTTAACTGCTGCACCATCATGGCTCCTTCAATTACATAACCAAGTTTGCAAAATTAGCAATCCATTCTGTACTGCTCACCGTGTGCAAGCACCAATCTGACCAGTCTCCACCGGCCACGATCTGACCAGTCTCCACAGCCCATGATCTGAGAAGTCTCTATAAACCATTTAAGCCTCACAGCAACCCTACGAGGAAGATGGTGCCACGTCACAGCAGTGAGCAGGTCACACAGAGGTCAAAGACATGCTCACAGATCTGTGGCTGCTAAGTGCAGAGCCAGGGGGCAGCCCAAACTCTCACTACCACGCTCGCTCACTCCATGGCCCACGCTCAGGTGTGTTCTAGCACAAGAACATACCGGCATCCTAGGACAAGCACAGCTCACTCATGATGGAATACCAGACAGGGTAACTCAATGTGCTGCTGCGTCACCTCCAGCTGGTGGTGACCTGAGTGCAGGGCTCATCTTCCGGTCTCCATCAGACCGTATCCCCCTGCGACCCACAGGGCTCTCGCCGGCTCATTGTCAGGATCCAATCCCCAGGTCTTTTAGTCCATCTTAGTCTACAAGCTCCCCTGAAGCCTGTGCACCCCGGGCAACCCTGCTGGTATTTGATTTACCAGGGCCGTACCCACTGGATACAAAACTCTAACAGACAGGGTGGGATGGTGTCTGGAAATCTGTCTACAGTCACAAATCAGGTGGGACTGTTAAGTTTCCTCTCTCGTGCTGCCCATCTGTTATCAAGCTCTAAAAACCTCACAGAACAAGCTGGGGGTGCCGTCTTCTTTTCCAGTCTCTCGGAGAGTTGGTGAAGGATCGGGCACGCCTGGTTTCCCACAAGTCTCACAGCCCTCGCCTGAAGAAGCCTTCCAGCCTGGTGTTTCCTGTACGGGAAGATTCCTGCCCCCTGTGTCAATGCCTTAATGGTAGCGCCTGTGCTGCTCTATTTTCTCCCGTTTGAATGAGCACTGTTTTACTCCACCTCTGCTTCACTCCTCAACTTCTACCTTGGGGCATGTTTTGTGAGGAACACAAACCGCTGGTGGGGAAAGCGGGCTCTGCTTGGCTGGCACTGAGCTTGTTTCCAGAGATGGAAACACAACAGTGGGTGCTGGTGCGAATGCTTTCACAGACTCATACCAGGGAGAACTGCTGAACTACCCAGTGCCGTCACCTGTTTTTACAATAAAACATACTGGTATAGCGTAACGGATGCAGGAATCAGCTGACCACGCTTTCTGGAGGTGACTTCTGAAAACCAGTACACCCTGGGTTTGCGGCCCACTCCACTCCCTGAACAAGTCATCCTAAGACCTGGTCCTGCTGCAGGACAGTTCTAACAGGGGCTCTATCAGTCACTTCTGAACCTGGTCCTGACCGGGAGTGGCAGCCCCAGGAATGCTGGGGTCATCTGAGTAGGATACCCTCCAGTCCTGAGGCCTGTAGCCAGCCGGCCCTGGACAGTGGTACTCACAGTTGCGTGCATGCTCCTTGGACAGCAGGTAGTTGGCGAGCGGAGGCGTGTAGGTCAGACACTGGATGGTGGAGTTCAGGAAGCAGGTGTTGCCAAGGTTGTGCAGTCCCGCCCCCACGCGGTACACACGCTCCCACCTCAGGGACAGCCGCTCGGTGGGGAAGAGAACTTTCTGTGGGGCTGGGACACCATCGAGGCAGCTCTCGTGTGTGTGCTGGCCGCCTGAGGGAGACGGGACAAGGTAAGCGCACACACGGGGAGTGGCAGTGCCACCAAGAGAAACCACCTCCACGTGCACGCAGTTCGTGGCTCTTTGGTGCATGTGCCCAAGGGCAGGTGGTGTCCCAAGCCCTAGGAGTTACCAGGGAACTTGAGAAAAGCCCTGGTCACCCCATAGGACCTTCCAGGTTGCTTAGGTCTCAGGTCAAGGGCACATCTATGGACAAGAGGCCACAATTCAGAGACTGTCCAGCTGGAGAAGCCAGGCCCTAGCACTTGACATCATACCCCATTCCCAGGCAGCCCACCCCATCTCTTCCCTATTCCCAAGGCTCGTTTTTGATCCTTTTAAACCCGGGGTTGGGGCAAGGGAGCCTCAGCAAACCCTGACACATGCAGATCTCTTCCTAGCACCCCACATCATCACGTCTGTGGCCAAGTTCCACTGACCCCTTGTAAGGTTCTGAACCTACTGGCCAGCTCAGCTTTTGTTCCTAATAACTGGCCAGCTCTTAAGCCATCCACGCAGCCCACGAGCTCCCCAGGAGGCCTCTCTGCTAGCAGTGGGGAGGGGTCTGTACCCTGCCTCCGGATCTGGGCTTCGTCACCGCTCTTGTGGCGACTGGCTCCCTCTGTTTTGGGGTTCAGCAACACATATTTGCTCTTTAGCGACTCCAGCTGGTAGGAGAAGCTCTTGCTGGCAGGCTCAAACTCGACCTTCTGTAGCAGGACCTTCTTGGCAGAGGAGGCTAGCAGCTTCCCCAACTCCCCATCGTCTGCCGAGTCCTTGCGGCCAGGCTTCAGCGCTTCCTTCAGCTTATCGACTATGGGCATGGTGCATCACTGTGGGGACAAGAAGGGACACGCAGCTACAGAGAACCAGGTCCCGGGAGCCAAGCACCACTCCCCAATAGTCATTCTTGTAGGACGCTGCTTATGTACACACAGACACACACAGACATACGTGGTAAGGGCATTAGTGTGGCGAGTCAGACAAGGACGCTCATCTCCACAGACCGTGCTACTCAAAGCAAAGACTCTGAGCCACGCGTGGGTGCTGAGCACATGAAAGGAGGCCGGTCCAAGGTGCGAGAAGCCTCAGTGTGAAACACACTGGGTGCTGAGGCTCCATGCAGGCATGCCTCGTTTTCAGTGAGCTTCACAGGTGCTGCATTTTTTACAGAGTGAAGGTTTGTAGCAGCCCTGCGTTGACCAAGTGTAATCAACACCGTTTTGTCCAACCACACGTGCTCATGTCACATCTGTGTCCCTTCCAGTGACGTGCACGGTATCTCAAGCTTTTCTATCATGCTACCGCACACTAATTGACTACAGTATCATGTAAACACAGCTCTTACATGCACTGGGAACCAAAGCACATGCCTGGGACCTAACCTACAATATCTCTGAGGTAAGCCTGTCTAAGAAAGGAGCCCTGGTGGCATAAACATGCAGCTAACTGCAAGGTTGCTGGTTCAAACTCACCAGTGGCTCCATGGGGGAAAACACCTGGCAACCTGCTTCCATAAAGATGATAGTCTTGGAAACCCCACGGAGCAATTCTACTCTGTCCTATGGGGTCTTTATGAGTAGGAATTGAGTTCACGGCAACGGGTTTGCTTTGGTTTTGGTTAACAACCAGCACAACAACAAACCATAAAGAAAAAATTTTAAAAAACCATCATTTTTATATTGATAACGTGTTGAAATGACTATACTTTACAAACAGTGGGTTACATAAGGTTTTATTGTATTAAAATAAAATTAAAGTTGACTTCACCTGCTTCCTGTTTTTCAATGTGGCCATAAAGTTCTTGAATTACAATTGTAGCCTGCATTCTATTTCCATGAGGATAGAGAACTTTTTGAAAAGTGAGAGAGAAGGGGGAGGGAGGGAAAAGAGGAAAGCCACAGGCCCAGAAGAGCACACATGAACCAGGTACAACCGTGTCGGACTCTCCCAGGTAGAGAGCAGGGGAAGCTGGGTGGGTAGCAGGCAGATCACAGGCTTGGGAAGCCGGCACACCTGGGCTGCTCCCAGCTCCATCACCTGCAAGCTCTGAAGTCCAAGGAAAACCACTATGACATCTCAGAGCTTCCTACTCCTCCACTGTGAAATGGGGACCAAAGGAGCTAAGGCGCTGAGGACCAGTCAGCAACAGCACAGCACGTTACCACCACAGTGCTTGCCACATCGCAGCTGTTCCCAGAGGGGCAGTACTACCCAGGCAGCTCTGACACCAAGCCGCAAGGGGGCCCTTCCCTCTCTGACTGCTACACTTGTGTCCACCATGTTTCCCGCAGGTCAGCTCAGCATCCCAGGCAAGTGCAGGCTGTCCGAGTCTCACTTAGAGAAACATTTTCCTTAAGGTGCTTACTCACACCAGAAAAATGACGATGACTCGTCTGGTGTACGGCATCCAGCCACTATGAGGAACCACTCAGTCAGGTGTCCCCCCAAACTGGGCGCCAGTACAAATCAGCCCACCTCGCCCCCTCTGGGAGTCATACTGTTTATCATCTGGGATTATCAAATCCCACCCATGGATCAAATTCCTGTTTCTATGAAAATTTCTATAAAATACAGAAATGTAAGAAGTTTTTTAAAAAGGCAAGTCCAGGTTTTCTGGGTTGAGGGGAACCGCCTAGGAGTTCTCACCAAGGGAAGGCTCCGTGGGGACCGTGGGCAGGGAACTCGGGAACGCAAAGCAGGGCAGAAACCTCTGCAGGCTTACCTGGGCAGGTTAGACGAGGGCCAGCTGCTTCTGCAGCAACCTATCTAGAAGGAAGGGGCGGTGTGGGGCCAGGCCCTCATGTACAGGTGTGTCCCTGGATCATGTGAGTGGCCAAGCGTCTTGGTCCAGAAGGTGCGTCCGCCTCTGTGGGAAGAACTGTGAGATGGTCACGGCAGGCCGACTCTGCCCACCACCTCGCCAGGCCTCCCTGTGGATAAGCATAGAAACTCTGCCCATCGAGCAGGAACAAATCAAGGCTGAAGGAACGCCCACAGGGTCAGGAGCAGCAGAAACAACAGGAACAAGTTACTGCAACGCACATAAAAGGGAAACCCTGTCACCAGGGCTGACGCCAGTGCATAAAACCTGTCCCCTCTTCAGCCAACACCAGCCTAAATCTCATTTCCAAAGAGCAAGACACAACAATGGCCCTCACATCTGGGTTTTATGAACCAGGAAAATGTCAGGGGGAAAAAAAATCAACATAGCAAACAAAGACCAGATATTTACTTTCCTAAATATATAATAGGACCTCTGGTAGTGCAGTGCCTAAGGCACTTGACTGCTAACCAGAAGGCTGATGGTTCAAACCCATCAGCCACTCCTCAGAAGGAAAGCTGGGCATCTACTTCCGTAGTGATACCGCCTCGGAAACCCAAGGAGGGGTCGCTATGAATCGGATCCGACTCCACAGCAGTGATTGCATTTGCCATGGAGTCAATTCTGACTCACAGCGCCCCCAGAGGACAGAGTGGAACTGCACCACAGGGTCTCCAAGGCTGTCAATCTTCATAGAAGCAGAGCCCAAACCACACCCACTGCTGTGGAGTCCATTCCGACCCACAGCGCCCCTAGAGGACAGAGTGGAACTGCATCACAGGGTCTCCAAGGCTGTCAGTCTTCAGGGAAGGAAAGCCCAAACCACACCCACTGCCCTGGAGTCCATTCCGACCCACAGCGCCCCTAGAGGACAGAGTGGAACTGCCCACAGGGTCTCCAAGGCTGTCAATCTTCACAGAAGCAAAGCCCAAACCACACCCACTGCTGTGGAGTCTATTCTGACCCACAGCACCCCTAGAGGACAAAGTGGAACTGCCCCACAAGGTTTCTGAGGTTGTCATCTTTCGGGAAGCTGTCTGCCTCAACTTCCTCCCATGAAGCGGCAGGTATGCTTAAATTGTCACTCTTTTGCTTAGCAGCTTTAACCACTATGCCACCAGAGCTTTTATATGTGTCATGTACATTTACTACACATTTAATTAACATACAAATGTATGTTGTTGCTGTTAGATGCCATTGAGTCAGCTCCAACTCACAGCAACCCTACGTACAACAGAACAAAACAGTGCCTGGTCCTGCGCCAGCCCCACAATTATACACTTAAGTATGAAATAATCATAGTCTGAGAGAAAGGACTAAATCTGTAAAGACACGTAGCTTTATGCAAAACTCTTCAACACCATTACTTCTGGTTAAGATGCACCTCACAGGTGAGAACTCTGTCACAGATGGACATGAGTCCAAGGTCTGTCAGCCAGAAAAGAGAGAGAATTTAGGAGTCAGATGGCTTTAGTTCATGATCAGTAACTTAAATGAAAGACGCATCTCCCATAAGGCCCTCCTGAACGTGCAGCCAGAGACTGAACGAACACAGGTCTCCGAGTCTTGACAGAAAGACTAAGGTCCCCCTCACCCACTGCAGAAACATGAGGCAATACCCTAAACCATTTCTCCAAGGTGCAGGAAACCAAAGAAAAATGTCCTTGTAACCAACTGTCAGCAAATTGTCTGAAGTACACATCTGGGAACAGAAACACTTCACAACTCACTAAGGACCGCCTCCCCACGTCCAATTTCTCATGGTCCTGGAAGGCCTACCCTTCACATGCTTACAAATGTATTTCCACCTCTCAAGGTACTCAAGCCCAGCTGGCTCACGGCACCACTCAAACACATTCTCTCCCCTTGCTCACTTGTCCAGACTCACTCCATCGACCACGTGCTCTGGGGGTGGGATGGGGGCTGGAGAACAAGATGGGAGCTGCAGCCTCCCCGGGGCCCACTTTTAAAGATGATTCAACGGAATGTGGAAATTGTCAAATATCAATAAAATCACACGCAAGTAAAATTATGCTGAAGATAATTCAAAAATGGTTACAGCAGTCCATCAACAGAAAACTGCCAGAAATTTAGGCTGGATTCAGAAGAGGATATGGAATAGGGGACATCACTGCTGATGTCAGATGGTTCTTAGCTGAAAGCAAAAAATATGAGAAAGATGTCTACCTGTGTTTTATTGACCACGCAAAGGTATTTGACTCTGTGCACCACAACAAGTTATGAATAACACTGCAAAGAACGGGAATTCCAGAACACTGAATTGTGCTCACAAGGAATCTGTACACAGACCAAGAGGCAGCTGTTCAAATAGAACAAGGGAACACTGCATGGTTTAAAACCAGGAAAGATATGTGTCAAGGCTGTATCCTTTCACCAAACTTACTCAATCTGTATGCTGAGCATAAAACCCAAGAAACTGGACTATACTGAGCTTGGAAGAAGACTCATTAATGACCTACGATATGCAGATGACATAACCTTGAAGATGACTTGAAGCACTTACTGATGAAGAGCAAAGACCACAGCCTTCAGTATGGATTACACCTCAACATAAAGAAAACAGAAGTCCTCACAAGTGGACCCATAAGCAACATCATGGTAAAGAGACTGATGTTGTCAGGGACTTCATTTCACTTCAACCCACAGTCAACACCCATGGAAACAGCAGTCAAGAAATCCAACGACGCTGCTTCGGGCTCATCGGCTGCGAAAGCCCTTCAAAGTATGAAAGAGCAGATGTCTCCTTGAGGACCAGGGTGGGCCTGACCCAAGCCTGGTGCTTCCCACCGCCTTAGATGCGAGCGTGGACGATGAACGAGGACTGAAGAGCGGATGCCCTTGAATGGAGGCCGGCACACAACACCGACAGTACCACAGAGCGCTGGAAGAAAACCCAACCTGGGAAGAAGTCCGGCCACAGCGCTCCTTAGAAGCCAGGACGGCAGCCTGTGTCTCAAGCACCCCAGCCCCTGCAGGACAGCGTGCTTGGTGGAGGGTCGGCGGAGAAGAGGACCCCCTCAATGAGGCAGAGCGACACAGTGGCTGCAACAACCGCGAGGGCGCAGGAAGGGGCGGCGCCTCCTTCGGTGGGTGCCTGGGAGTAGAAGCCCACCGGGGCCCCTCACTGCAGGCCCGGCCCGGGAAACAGCGAACGGCGTCTACTTGAGAGCTGGTTCTTGGCACCCACGACGCAAACTGAGCTCGGAGCATGACGGGCTTGCCCTGGTAGGACACCCCTTCAACCATGGCAGCCCCGGGGAGACCCAAGCCCACCCGCGGAAGGTCGGGGCTCTTCTAAGGGCGCAGGTGCGCTCAGCGAGGGTCCCCTCCGCAAGGTGCTCACGGCTCGGTCACAGGAAGTGCAGGAGTCCCGCTCTGCCGCCCTCCCGACCGACGCCAGCCCTTCCCGAGAGCATGGGCCTGCGCCCACCGAGACGCAGGCCGCTGCCTCCCCGGCCGGGGCCAGCTCATCCCTCCACCACCGGCCCGCACAGCAGGCAGTGGGCCCGCCGCAGCCCCGGACACCCCGCGCGGCCACCGCGAGGCCCCTCCAGAGGCCACTGCTAAATCCTCGCGTGCACCCCCAGCACCTCCTCGGAGGCCCCTCGAGACTCCTCCAGGGACGCGCCCCGAAATCCCCGAGTTAACGCCCCGCCAGCCCCACCATGGGGACACCCCAAGTCCCTCGCGGACGCCTTAGACCCGACTCCGTGCCCCCGCCCGCCTCGCACGCACCTCGTGGGCCGCGCTCCTTCGGCCTCCGCGGACACCCCAAAGCCTCCCCTCGCGGACACCCAGGAGATGTTCGTGGACGGCGCTCCCTCAGCCCTCACCCACACCCCGAAGCCCCTCTCTGGGACACCCTGGGCCCCTCTCCGCGGATACGCTGGTCCTCCTCGCGAACACCCCGAGGCCCCTCTTTGAGGCCACCCGGGCCTCCTCGCAGCCACCCCGGCCTTCCTCACAGACACCCTGAGGCCCCCGCGAACACCAGCCCACTTTCCCTTGAGCCCGTGGATGAGTCCCGCCACCCCAAGCCCGCGGAAGCTGAGCCCCAGCCGGCCGCACAGCGCGCTCCTCCGGGATCGCGGGGACTCCGCTACCGCAATCCCGCACGCCGCCCGCCTGCACCTACCGGGCCTCTCGGCCACCCCACTGGAGGCCCGCGCGGCGCTGGCGTCTCCCGGCCCGCGGCCCCTTACGCGCACCATCCGGGCCTCTGCCGCCGAACACACGTGTCACAGCGACATTTAAAGGCGCCACTCCCGGCAGCCGCGCTGAGCCGACACCGACTGGGCCCGGCAACTTTAAGAGGCGGGGCTACCTGCGTTCCTACTCCCTGGACCCGTCCCCAGCCGCTTGACGCCCCGGAAACGACGCTAATCATTCCGTGGGCCTTCCAGCCTACGTGATGACGCAAACACGTAAAGCTGTACACGCTTTGCCTACGCGTTGAGTTAGCGCAGCGCACGTGATGCGCCCCCACTTCCGCGCCGGCGGGCGCGTGGGGTGGAGCGTTCTGTGCCCTGTCCCTGGAGTGTTCCCGGTTATCCGTCAGAAGCCTGGTATTAAAGCGGCCCCACGCCGCCTAAAGGGGAGGTGCATGGTCTAAACCCTACCCTCATCCATGAAAGGACACGTGACAGACATTTCGCAAGCCCAGGGAGAAACAGAGCAAAGGCGCCGATGGCTGGGCTTTGACCTCTCGGACCCCGAGTGTCACCGATAACGAAGACATACCTGACCATCTGCAGGTTGCGGTCCTGCCGGATGACAGCAGCACGCAGCCGTCTTGGTTGAATTTTCACAAAAGAGTTTGCATTGCTTTTGCAGTATATTAAAAATGACCTCGATAATGTTGAATTGTATCTAAGCCTCTTGATCCTGGAAAACAGCAAAGGTTTAAAAATCGCCCAGCCTTGGAAGGCCTGGCGATCTCCAAAAAATCAGCCATTGAAAGCCCTGTGGAGCGCAGTTCTTCTCTGATACACACGGGACCCCCTGAGTCAGAGTCCACTGGACAGCAGCTGGGGGGGGTTCCTAAAAAGGACAGCTTAAGGGAACTACCCTTCCATAGGACTCATAGCCGCCTTGGCCTGACTTATGACGAGGCCACACACAGGCACTTCACATTCCCTTTCCCTCTTTGCATTAATTCCTTGACTAAATCTTTCCTTACTGGGTCCAGGTGTGTTTTTTTGTTTGACAACCAGAAGCAACTTCCTTGTCTTTATTTCCCCCCTGGGGGGGGGCAGGAGGACCCCTGTGGTTCCTGGTCTGGCCTCCCTGCAGCACTCTCAAAAAATAAACAACATTCTCCAAAAGACCAAGCTTTGCACACACCATCCTGTTCCCTTGTCTTTCTTGATAGATAAACTGGAATGAGGAGGAGGAGGAGTTTAGGGACCACGGAGCTAGAACTCAAGTTCTTCCGCTCCCACAGTCCTTAACGCTGGGAGCGGACATGGCACAAAGAACAGAACTGGAGCAAAATCCACCTTGTGACTATTCTTGTTAGTTACCATCGCGTGGATTCTGACACATGGCGACCCTGTGTTGTAGACTAGAATTGCTCCCAGGGTTTGCAGGAGACCAGGCTTCTATCCTAGCTCTGTTCCAATTAGCTAGCTCTCTTGACACCTCTTTTAACTTACTGAGTTTTCATCTGTGAAATAAAGGGAATCCCCAACATCTCTTGAATTCTTCTAATAACAAAATCAACACGACTTGCCACCATTGCTAAGCTCATACTATGTGCCAGATACTGAATCGGCCACTTGGCCAACACCGTCTGACTCGATGTCCATACCAGCCCTACAGACAGGAACTCTTGCTCCCAGATGAGAAGCCTGAGCACAGTTAACAAACTTCTGCAAGGTCCCTAATTTATGGCATAAATCAATTGTCAAGGATAACTCAAAATGCACAAACAGAAGATAAACTAGATGAATGGGACATTCTAAAAATTAAATTCTTAATGTGCATCTAAAGACTTCTCCAAAAGAGTAAAAAGAGAACCTACAGATTGGGAAAAAAAATATT